CAAGATGCTATGCATCTGAGAAGAAACCCCTTTGTATTTCAGGATGAAGTTGCTGGTAAGGCACAGGCAGGTAACCTGGGAGGAACAACTGTGAAAGAGCCCACTGAACAATCAAACAACAACCAGTGGCAAAGGGATGAATGGCCTAGATGGTTCCAAGAGCCAGCACGTACAGGCTGGGGGCAGGGCAGCCATGACTGTCAAGAGATGGTACCATGGAGGAGCCTCTCGAGCATGTCTGTGCCCATCCTTCAGCAGTGGCTCTCTGCTATGGACCGCATCTGGTTCACCCAACCAAGGACCCCCAGCATAACACTGGATCTCACAGTCAGGGCCACAGCCTACAGATTGAGAACTCAACTTTGGTTCCTCCCCCAGCCCCGACCTCGCCTCCCTTGCTTGCTCTCTCTCTCTTGCTCAGGCCCCAATACCTCTGTGGTTCCTGTCCATTGCTCCCTGGGCCATCAGTCTCCAACCTGTTTGCTCTGCTCTGTGGTGCAGGCACCAGTGACAAGTACTCTGACTCGGCTTCCCCCTCACTCACTGAATACCTCACCTCTTCCTAACATCTATTTTACTTCTGGGTATTCCACAGATCACCATTCAACTGTCTTCACAAAGTGCAGCCCTAGTGACATCACAGGCTGCTTGCTGGCTGCAGACGGGGGCTGAGGTCTGCAACCCTGTGCCGTCCTCTCCTCAGGTCTCTATTTTCCCATCTTTAGTTCCCACATTCTCCACCAGCTGCTTCATATTTCATGCAAGACCTGCCTCCAGCTTCTGTGATACCCTCTTCTGAGCTAGCCACTGGGCAGCTGGCCAGTGAACAAGACAGGCACAGTTCCTGCCCTTGGGCAGTTTAAAGTCCAAATGCATTGGGGAAGAATGCATTTGAAAAAATTTTCATTTGTTAGACTTGATATGCCACAGACACTGGCAAAATTTTTTCACCACAAAGTTTGGTATACTTACTTTCAACACTTCAGAACTCAAAGCTTGAAATAAGAACATCCAAAGTTTAAAATATTAGCCTTTAAAATTAATTATTTTAAAATTAGAATTCCGTGTTGCAAACACAAAGAAGAAAGGGCATCAAACATGAATAATAAGGGATTCTAATTCGGGAGGCGCAGCAGAGAAGAGTAAACCTGGTATTATCTGACACAGTGAACAGGAGGGTGCAGCTTCAATTACATGGCATGTTTAGGTTTAACAGCATTGGCACTACCTACCCTGCACAACTTTTTGATTCCTGGTGGGTAATCCTTTCTGATGGCTCAGAAATGAAGTGAAACCTCCATATGATTTCCCACGATGGTCACAAGAGGCTAACTTGCTTGAAGAACTATAAAAATCTTTTTAGCATCTATACAGATCTAGGATATTTTTTAAAAAAGTGATCACTACATTTTTAGCCCAGAGCCTTATTTACAGGAGGTGCACATAAATAGTGAGTTGCCAGGTGTGTTTGAATCACAAACTGAAGGGGACCAAGGCTTAACGTGGCAGCAGTACGAACTTGGAGCCTTCACCCTGAAACACACCTTGAAAGAAAGGCCATCGGGTCACCCTGGCCCAACAATGATCAGGACGAAGTTTTTCACTCTGACTACATTACAAGTCAGTTCTGTGATATGCAGAGGTATTGGTATGTTGGATAAAGTTTGGAATATGGTGGTGCAAGGTACACACATCCACCCATAGGTTTACAAATATATTCGATGGTACTGTTCTTAATGATGAATAATCTACAACTGTTGTTTGTCTTTAACATCGAGGAAAATAAGTTTTAAAAAATTAATTATTGTTATTACTTTATCATGCTAGGGATTTAAGCCACAACCTCAATCCTTTTCTAGTTTAAGTTTTGATCCAGGGGCTCACTAAGATGGTAAGAAAATTTCCCAGGCTGGGCTTGAACTCGTGATCCTCCTGCCCCACCTTCCAGAGGGTTGGGATTACAGGCATACACCACACCTGGCAAAGAAGTTTTATTTTTCAACAACAAAACAATTTAAGTGTTAACTGGGATAAGGTGAACTACTTTTCCATTCTTTCATGAAGGCTATACTCACAGGGAGAAGTCTACTAGGTAGGCTAACTGCACTACACTTCACTTTCATCAAAGGCCTCCACTTGTCATTGCTGGTGTTTTTCAGGTACAGGAAAAAGACATCATACAAGAAAGTGGAGACCATTTATCACCGGAGTGAATGGAAAAGTCTGAATATGAAATGAGTCAGACAAGAACTTCCTCACTGCCACACTGATTTAAAGCCTGTCTAAAGTACCAGCACTTCAGAAAATAAACACAAGGTGTAAGTGGCTGGATCCTCTGCAAGCAAGTGCCTCTAAAAGGTGATGTGAATCTAGGTTACCAACCCAACTTTTCAAACCCAAGCAGTTCCACAGAGAGGTTCAGAGAAAGGTTCCTTCCATTCTTTTTTTGGGGGGTTGGAGGGTGTTGAACTTAGGACCTCTTGCATGCTAAGTAAATACTGTACCACTGAACTTTACCCGAGCCCTGATTTCACCTTTTAAACATAGTGTACAGTGCTTGGCACTCAGGATTGGTCAACAATACACATCAGCAGGCTCTGGGAGGGAAAGTGGGACTGCTGGTAGTTAGCTAGTACTGACATGTCAACTGACAGCTGCTGCTTGGCCTGGCAATGATGAACAAACTATCTGGCAGCCGAGGTGACAGACCCTTCTGGTCTCAGCCCGCCTGAGCTTCATCCTACATGCAGCACATAGGCTCTCGAGGGCAAGGCATGACCTTGGAGCCACAGCCATCACACTCCCCTCTTTCCTTCCAAACCAAGGAGCCAGAAGTTCAGCCCTACATCTATAGTCTTGTGGGGGCCAGCTTCTGCTGATTTTTTTTTTCCATACAGGACTGGGGAGGGAGGAAAAGCACACCTCTGGTTTACTAAAGTTACTCTGAACTTTTTTTAAAAAATAGAAATATAGTCATCAAAGAGAAAGCAGCAATTTAAATGCCTAAAGCAGCAGGCAGAGCTGAGGAAAGAAGGGTTGGTCAAATGATTAATTACACTCACATGGACTGACTCTCCTCAAAATTGATCTCTCCAGGGCAGGGAGTTGAACAGACCTGACAATTAGTTACTTGTGAGTCAGCCTCCACTTACCTCATAGCCCTTCAAAGTTTGCGCTCAGCCATTTGCACTTACTTAAATATCCACTTACATGGTTTTGTTTTTAGAGGGTAATAGTAGTGCCTTAGATTTCAGCAACTACATTGGTAATTTTCAGAAAGTTTAAAAAGCCACTTCTCCATAGTTCAGTGCAGAATACAGAACGTAACGGGATCATTTTAGCTCTCCCTAACAGAAGCACTGGTGAGAGAGAGAGGTACAGGCCTGATTCAAGGCAACTAATAAGACAATACAGCACATACTTTGAAGAGTGAGTTTCTGTGAGGTGCTAGAGCAATTTCCTTCCTTCTTTCCTTCCTTCTTTCCTTCCTTCCTTTCAGCAAATATGGGGACAGAGGAAGAACACACTTTTATTTAGCCTTGGAGTCAGGCAGAGGCAATTTCCCAGATGTCAAAGTCATCTGTTGTGAATTCCTTTTGAAGTACTAGTTCATCTTTATATGGCCTCTTTAAATGTCATAAGAATTCTCAAATCATATGGAATTACCCCTTTTTATTCCACACAAACCCTATTTATAATTTCAACAATTATGCTTTAAAAGTTATTTTCAACAGCAGACCCCAAGCTGGCAACTGATTTTATTAGCTAAGCTCCCATGTGAGTGTCGGCTCTACAGGGCACCAAATCCTGCCCATCCTACTCGAGCCAGAGCTCTCCCTCTGCACCTGGGGGGATGGCAGGGAGCTTAGGCCTTGCCGGCAACTGCAACCGTGACCAAAATTAGGGGGTCTCACCAGCAGCCTGGCCAGTATTTTTTTTTTTTTTCCCGGAACCGGGGATTGAACTCAGGCCCTTAAGCTTGCCAGGCAAGCGCTTATTCTACTGAGCCGTCTCCCTGGCCTGAGCCAGTATTATTTTCTAAGACCTGAGAAGGTCTCATGCTCGAGTAAGCAAGGGAGAAATTCTTAGAAACTTTCAACAAGAGGTGAGGTGGGGAGGAGATCATGGGTCTTCAGGAAAGTGTGCTAACAAAGCCCAACTGGACTCTAAGAGAATATACAGGGCAAGCAAAGGTTCAACTTATATGGTCATCAGGGCAGTAATCTGGTACATAATGCAGGAGAAATTCAGAGTTTAAATTTAGGGCATACCAAAAGTGTTTCCTAGGTTTGAAAAGATTTAAAAGAAGCCAGTACTTAGACTTCTACTTTTGAAAAAATCCACAGCATCTATGGATCTAGCTTGGCTGCATGAAACTCAGGTCATAAGCAGCAGGTCCTTTCTTAGGAAAGCCAACATGGATGAAAAGATATTTCAAAGTTGAAGCTGTCACTAGGCAAGTACAGGCACCTGGCAAGAAGCAGCAACAGGGCCAGCTGGATGTGGGTGCAACCCAGCATAGGACAAAGAGCTCCACAGAGTCCTCCAAGGTGGGGACAACAGTACCAGAATCACTTACTGTGCAGCACTATATGGCACAAAGTGTGGCCTTCAACAAAAAGTGCTGCAGCAAGAGTCAGAGTCTGCCAACTTGAAAAATAGAAAATCAGCGAGAAAATGATTTCTGATATTCCAGGGGAGTCTGCAAAAACAAATGTATATCCAATACACATGGGCACAAGCTGTGACACACAGGACCCTGAGTCTTGCAGCTGAAAGGACAGTGAGTTTTCTTTTCTTATCAACTTCTACACTGAAATCACATGGTGTAGAGGCTCCTAACTTTACCCTTAACTTGAAAAAGAACAGTGAAAACTTATCACAAGAGAATTATTACTATATAATTACTTGTTGTGAAAGAATCATGGATCCTTCTTTATAGAGCCAACGACATGACAAAACCAACTTGCCACTGGAAGCAAATTACAAAAGCAACTCACCTGGAAATCTTGGTCATCGATTCCAAACCTCTCTCGCAGGTTGCGGAAAACCATTGGGCAGTATTCCTTGAACTTGAAATGGCTCGGCATGTTTTCTCTGAAATAATCACATTGTGGAATAAATATCAGGTACATAGGAAGGTTAAACAGGCTCCACTGTGCCCCCCACCAGCTCTGCCTGCAGTTTATTGCCCCCTGAAGGTACACTGTTTCACAGAAGGGTAATACTGTCCCTCTGTCTGGTTTTCTTGGACTGTGTGACTCCTGAGTCTAGCCCACATAGGCCAGCCATTCTCGAAAGAAGGAGAGGCACAGGAGCAACCATGTGAAAGGAGACAGAAAAGCAGAGACACAGGACAGTAGAAAAGGGTGGAGTAAGCCCAACGGTGGGCCCCACATTGCTGCAACCAGGCAGCGAGTCAACAAAATATGGCCCATGATGATGTGCTTTATACAAACACCACATGCTTGGCTCATAAACAGTCCCTCAGAAACTCAACCTCTACACAGTACTATGGGGAAAATGCACATGTCAGCTTCACATTAGAACAGTGGCCCTGTTAAGAAAGTCATGGCAGGCTGGAGGCAGCACTCATTGGGAGACCACTTACACGGCATGTATGAAGTCTTGTGTTCCATCTCCAGGACCTCAAAAACTAACAGAATATAAATCAATTTCATAACTGATCCCCATCTGGCAGGGAGTTCTTTGAGTCTCACCTCCTCATTCTGAACTGATCCTACAGAACCACATCTATAAATGATATGCACACTTGCATCATTGTACTTTGTGCCCTGAATTGCATTAGTCTGTGTCTGTGCCTGTGTCCAACCTCTGGGCTGACCATGAGCCCACTGAGGGCAGGGCTAGCTCTTATTTATTGCTGTAGCTCAGCTCTCCAGGATGTCTAACATGACACTCAAATGAAGAATATTGTAAGGGCACAGCATGGCATCTTATTATTCTTATTGAAATGTATCTTAATTCTTCATAGCTCTGTACCATAGGCATTTCTGCTCATAAAGCCATCATTTTCAAAGTTTTGTGCACAAAACACCAAATAACTTACAGCTTCAAAAATTTAAATTATAATGAGAATATCACTTTTAATGTCTGAGATATTCAGAGAGAACAATATGCCGTATGGCAAAGAATACTATCTCAAGAAGCCTGCTGCTGCTTCTCTGAAAGTGACAGATGGCTATGTTTATCACAGAATTAACGTCATCAGCAAAGCTTTACTCCCACCCATTGAAAAAATTATGTGATTACAGATTCACAAAAATCATACTCTTAGCAGCCATGTTGGTTCTATATAAAAGTTACTTACTTGTTAAAAAGGTGATTGTCCACCTTTATCTTTGAATAGGCTTTGAAGTCATCTGGCATCAACATGACAGGGATTTGAACATGGCTCAGTTCATTGATCTAGGAAAACAAGAACATAAAAACTAAAGACACATTACTACCACCTAGGTGGGAAGAGTTTGACTGAAACATGTACCTGCAAGGGAAACTTGGCGGACACAGGGACATGTTGCCTGCCTACTCTCCCTTTCCTTGCTCCTGTCTTAAACTCTTCCTGCCTTCCTCACTCCCTCATTGGACTTTACCAAGTACTCCCAGCTTCCAATCCAGTTCTGATCCCACCTCTGAGGCTGGACCTTGGGGCTAGGGGATTGCAGTGGCAAAAGAGGGGTCCTATGGGTCAGCTGTTAAGATCTCTGCTTATCCTTCATTTCTTCTGTCTACTTCCCCTCCAGATCCTCAACCCAGAGCTCTACTGATCTCGTTTCCAAGACAACTTTTCTCTGTAAAGAAATGTTATGTGGGCAAGGCAGATATCAAATCTTGATGCAAATACTTGTTGAATTAATGGACATGATTTACTGGTTAACAGGCATAATTTCTATATTTTGGCACTCAAAGAACAACATCCACATTCTTGTGGTCTTTACCTTTCTTGCAGGAACTAAGATTAAAAAACAAAACAAAACATTGGGTGGGGCTATACCAACAGAAGAACCTTCAGTAGGGAAGAAGGAAGTTGTGGGCCCTGAGACTACATGAGAGGAGTTTGGTTTGTGCAAGGGTTAAGAACAGAAGCAAAGATATAGTTCCAGAGGTCAAGTGTAGAATCCACTTTTGCTTACATTCCCATGAATGGCAGGTTTGGCTTTTGACACTTGACACTGAAAAACGTGACCTTTCTCTTGGTTAATTGTCTTTTCATTGTAGTTTCCAAGCTACATACCTCCCTTATTGTTAGCAATAAAAACCACCTTGAACATCATATTTGGAGCAGAATATAAGGTGCTTTTAAGGATTCTCAGTCCAAAAACACTAAACAAAAACAAGAAATAACAACAACAAAATGAGTTCCTTGATAGTGCAGAATTTTTCACATATTGCTGAGTTCATATTAGAACACAGGAAGTTGGCTGTAGCGGGATACACCTGGAATCCCAGCACTCAGAAGGCTGAGGTAGGAGGACTGCCACGAGTTCAAGGCCAGACTGGGTTACAAAATGAGTTCAAGGCTAGCCTGGCCTACATAGGGAGACGGTTTCAGATGACACAGGGCATGTTCAGGGTGGTATGGCTGTAGACAAGACTATTAAAAAAAATAAAACAACCAAAGGAAATCTAGCCTGAAGATATCATCCATTTCAGCACTTTGTTGTGTCAAGGATGAGGGGTTCAGATGTCAGAAATGATCATAAAATGTGACAGCACATGTTTCAAAGAGAAGTGGTGGTGGTCTTTTGGGCAGAGCTGAGAGGCCATTTTAGTAAATTTACAAAGAACAAAGCAAGCCTGTGGAGTGATGTGCAGGCACAGAGTGGCCTCAGGGTGCAGGTGCACACAAAGATGGCACTTGGAGTCCCTCAGATTTGAGGATTTTGCTGATCAAAGAAGAAAGAAAGTATTAGGAGAAACAGCTGGAAATGAAAAATGTGTAATTTGTAGGCCCTGACTCTAAGGAGTTTCCACCTTAGTTGATGGGGCAAATATTCAAGCACAAGAGTCCAGTACAAACCAGCTAGAACAAAGCTACAAGTCTAGACAGGTTGTCCTGGGAAGGCAGGGCAGGCATGCACTGTCACAGGTGTGCAGGATGGGGCTCTGGGGAAGCACGGCCCCATGGGGCTTGGGAAGGATGCGGAGCTGCGCCCAGCGACATGCAAATATGTAGGAAGCAAGTACTGTACTTCAGTTGCTTCTATGTGTCGTCTTCATAAATCAGACTACTCAAGAGTAGGGAATGGTGGGTCTTTGTTATTAGAGGAGACAAGAAACAAGATGAGATGACAAATCAAGGCTAATTACGCTTGATTTCCATACATATGGTTGAAATTAAAAGAATCGCAGAGAGTCTAAAATCTAACTTCTCATTTTGAAGATAATAAAATATCCTGGTGCAGCTGTACCTATGATGAGTAACAGCTCAACGCTGTGTCATGCTAGCTATTTCATGGCTACTCTATCTTCCTTCCAGATTGCCTCTCATTTATAATAGTTTCAATTTCCTTTGGCTTTTTCTAACCTGTCAAATTCCCCCACCCCCACCCCGTGACTGGCCAGATTTAATAACTTGTGAACAAACACTTTGTGAACCAGAGGATCTACCGCTTAAAAGCAGATTTAAATCAGGAATCAATACTTTTCTCAGTAATGTACCCATGAATTCCTATGTTATTTATTCAATATGTATGTTTTATTTTCTTGTGTATGAGAGCAAGCATTCATCAGCTTTAATTAAATTATTAACTTCAACACTGCTTGATAATTAAAAGGCATTTAACTTCCTGGTTAGCACACTCTCCTGTAGCCTCTTACTGTGCCATTATACAAGCCCAAGTATCGCTATCGCTCGTCTAGTTCAAGCTCATGAACTAAGGCAGGTAAAGCAATGAGCTACCACATAAATAAGGATGAATTAATCCTATTTGTTAAGTTCCATATTTCACATTTTCAGAACAAAGTCCTTGACTTTCAAAGTCTTTAGTTTGAGAAAAATTTATTAGGTCAGCATTCTATGTACCCAACTATTCTCAATAGACCATCCTAAAATTGGCAGCCAAGCTAGCAACAGGGTACCATCAGTTTAATTACGGGTACTTCTTTAAACAAAGCACTGGCACTTTTTGTCTGTGTTTACAGATACTTTGGAACATACTTCAAAGTGTGTCTGTGTTTATTGATACCTAAATTTAACAATGAAGATTTACATTAACCATCAGTATCTTGAGGAAAGAATAATGCACTTTCCCTGTAGGAATAAGCATACATTTTAAATTCCAAATTGTTTCTAATTTATGGAGATAAAAGTGGTTTTGGAGTTTATTACAATTTTATTAAGTTAGCTAAACAAATTGAAGCACTGGCTATATTATGCAGGGCACACACATAGTTCTTTGAGGTTGCAAGTATCTAATAAGCTCTACCCCAAAAGGGCAATACCACTTTATAGTTGTGTACTGCTTAGCAGTTGTCAGATCACTCTGGCAAACACACTTTCATCTTCCATTTGTGTTGAATGTCGCATTCACAATCCTATGCAGCCCAATCCATTTTGTTAATGTTTTAGAAATACTTCCATGCACAAAGGCTGTGTGCTGGCTTCTCTGCCCAGGAAACTCTGTGTTCCAGGGTACACCGAGCCACGCACCTTCAGGAACCAGGTGTGGATTGGCATGGCCTTTCTGCTTAGCCATTGGCCATGGAGGCTGATGGAGCTGGGTCCAACATAGGACACAAAATAAAGGAGCTTTGTTAACAACAGAAAGAAGACCAAAGAAGGGTGGGTGGGCTTTTACAAAGGATTAGTACAAAGTGACAAATGCTCCTGATTGTATGCTAACTCAACAGTGAAGGCAGGGGGAGGGCAGAGATGAGTGGGATGGGAGGAGGAGGTCGGGAGACTCCTGAGGCCTCAGCTCTGCTCAGCCTTCACTCACTCAATGCCTGGCATTAACTTCACTGCCAATACTCACTGGATATGTTCCAAGAGCCATGTTAAATACTTTGGATGCAATATCTTATCTGATCTTTACAACCCAATAGTGTGGTTCTATTATTATCCCCACTTTGAGATAAGGCAAGTGATGCTTTGGGAGATTAGGCAAGACACCCACAGTAGAGCGGAACCTGGAATCTAGCCTCAGTCTCAGTCTTTCTCAGACAGCTAAAAACAAAATGCAGAGGTGGACATGCTGAGCCTAACACCTTTTCAAATTCTTGCTGGTGATGAGACTAAGATTCACAGCAAGTTCATGGGAGCACCTACCTAAAATTTATGCTTCATTGTGTTACAAGAATTTTTTAAAAAGTAGTAATTAAATAGTGAGAGCATGTTTAATTGAATATGCACCATGGCCTACAATTATACCTGCTGTGGTTTCAATAGTACAATTTAAATTTGGAAGGGCCTGTGTCACTAAGCAGCTATCATTCCTTCAACATTCCTTGCAACTTCAAAAATGAGAAAATAAATATTCCTCAAAGCTCCACTGAAATATTAATGAATCATAAATAGTATACTTGAAGGATGCAAAATCAATTTCCAAGGTAATTATTTCTTAGAGACAATTATTTGGGTTTTCTTTTATGAAAAAAATATTATTAACACAAAACACAGTACGATTTGCAGGCCTTTGCTTTTAAAATATGACACAGCGCAGCTGAGAAAAGGTGTATATATTCCTTTTCTCAGCATGACATTCAAATTTACATCACAACCAATGCTGTAGAACAGGTATTTTTTTTTTTTTTTTTTGTGGGTGAGATCTGCTGAATGCAATGAGTATCACTCCTGCAGATGTGAGACTGTATTCACACTGGCAAGAAAAGAGGTTGCTAGCTAAGTGAAAAAAAAAAAAAAAAGGAATAATAAATAGCTACAAGACAAGGAATAAGTAGGGGAGACACAGCTGGTAGTGGTTATGGCCTTAATCCACACAGAGGTGTCTCCACAAAGCCACTTCATGCTGTGACATTTAAAAAATAAACCTCACTAATTTATATGATTCTTAAATCAAGCAAAGGATATGCTCACAAATTGCAAGGCATTATTAATGACAATTAATTCAGATATATTCACCCTAAACACTGTGTTCTCAGACTAATACATACTTAGCAATTGGTTTTCATTCAACCAAGAACATACAAACAGGACCAAAAAACCTCTCACATGAGCTATTTAATCTGATTATAGTAAGGACTATTCTCCACAAATTATGACTCATTGAGATAACCTAGGAAGCAGCCAGTGTGGGCAGCTGCAGGCTACGCTGCTGTGCATAAAGACCATCTGAGGAAGCCATGTCTGTATCTGAGCCCAGCCTGGCCTAGTGAGATCTTGTAGCCCACAAGGCCACTGGGGGGCGCAGAGCTGCTTTTGGCTGGCTGTCCATTCTAGACTGGGG